CGGGGAGGCAGAGGGCAGGCAGATCTCTGAGTTCAAGGTCATCCTGGTTTATGAATCAAGTTTGAGAACAGCCAGGGCTACAAAGAGAAATCTGTCTCGAAAAACAAAAAACAAACAAACAAAGTTAGTACCGCCCTGTTGGAGACAGAAAAGACACAGCATGGCGCAGCCTTAAAGCCCATGTGGCAGTCTGTTACTCTTTTCAGAAGACAGGGGAGGTTTCACAGCATAAACCTGAAGCGGGGACAGGCAGGGGTACCCTTTGATGCTCTGATGAGGAATCCCAGCCCCAGGATGTCTGTTAGCTAGGGACTCACAGTCAGTGTCTCAGTCGGTGTCCCTCAACATCTGTAAGAGAGAAAAGGCTGCTGCAGACATTATGGCCTGAGCAGCCTCTGGATTCGAACACTGCATTTTCGGGCCAGGCTCTCCCCTGTGTAGGGGACTCGCCTTGCCTTTCCAGCAGCAGCAAGAAAGAGGCTGCTGCAATGAGATTGGCTGGAATAGTTGCAGCCCAAAACACCACCAGGCCATCTTGATTTCCCTTGATGTTTGGCCATTGGCAAACACGGGTTCTTTCAAATTACAATTTTAACTACTACTATTAACTAATAGTGTGTACATAATACACATCACACACTGTATGTATGATGCATATATGTAGGCTACAGAATGGCTACAAACAGGTTAGATATTAAGCATGAAGAAATGGAGAGATGGTTCAGCTGTTAAGAGCACATATTACTCTTCCAGAGGACCAGGGTTTAACTCCTAACAAACATATAATATGGCTCACAGTCACTTGTAACTCCAGCTCCAGGAGATCCGATACCTCTGGCTTCCACAGGGTACACGCATGCATGCATGCATGCATGCACACACACACATTCACACACACACACACACACACAAATTAAAAATAAATCTAGAATAGTAAAAGTTGAAGCATGAGCTGAATTGGGAAAGTGCTTGCCCACGAAGTCCTGGGTTTGGTCCCTAACCTGTCAGAAATATTCTCAGTATCACACAAAGGACTTCCAAACATGGCAAACTGCCTCAGTGAGATAAAACTGCACCCTTGATCAAGAGGGTGCACTCCGAAGAGCAGGCACACCCGGTGGGAAGTGTGCACTTGGATTTTTTCTGATGAAGGTGCTAACTGTTCTCTTCACCATTGCTGGTCTGACCCCCCAGTCTTTCGCGATTAGCTACTTTTAAAAGACGCAGCCGGGCAGTGGTGGTACATGCCTTTGATCCCGGCACTCTGGAGGCAGGTGGACCACTTTGAGTTCCAGGCCAGCCTGGTCTACAAAACAAGTTCCAGGACATCCAGGACTGTTGCACAGAGAAACCCGGTCTTGAAAAACAAAACAAACAAACTCAACGTGAAGGGAAGTGGGAGGGGTGGACACTTGAGTCACCGAAGTTTGAGAATGTAGGAGGGGTTTTGAGTAGACAGAAGTTTGACCAGATTGGGGGATTAAATTTGCATAAAAGTCTTACAAGGTGGGAAGATAAAAAAAGCACTTAAATTCCTTCTCATGCACAAAAGGTGTATAGTATTTAATAGAAAAGACTAATATTTAATGTTCCTTACAGACCACATAAACCAAGTATGTGGGTGTACACGCGTCATGTTGGTTTGAATGTGATGTCCTCCGTATTTGTGGGCGTTTGAACATTTGGTCCCTAGCTGGGGACCCTGTTTGGGGAAGTTCAGGAGGTGTGGCCTTGTGGGAGGAAGTGCACTGCTGGGGGGCAGGATCTGAGGTTCCAAAGCCTGGCACAACCCCAGGTTGCCCTCTCTGCTTCCAGTCTGTGGTCCGAGTCTGAGCCCTCAGCGCTCCGCTCCCGGCTCCAGCCACCATGCCTGACGCTGACGTGGGAACTTGCCCAGGAATCTCCTGGTGGGAGAGGGAAATGGTGCCAGCCAATCATAAAGAGACTTTACAGTTCTGACAGCTTGCCAGCCCATCTCACTGGAGACTGAAGCCCGGATAAAGATGGGTCAATGGTGGCAGGCCTGCCTAGATATTCAAATCTTTGGCCTCTACTAAACCGTTAATCTCACTTTTCTCTTGGGCCCAGGCAGTGTTCCTGGATCTCTTTGTCTGTCTTCTCAATGTAAACACTGAACAAAGTCCCCTTTTCTGCTTCCCCTTTTAATCCCACTCTTCTGATGGGCTCACTGGGACAGGTGGCTAGCCTGGGCTTGGGGCACAGTCTCTATACACTGATAGATAACATGACTGCTCCGTGGTGTGATTAGGGGGAGCGTTTTTATTGTAAAGAGAAAGAACAGCCGAGGGCATCTGGGAGAGTCCAGAGTAGAGGGACAGAGAAGTAGACATAGCCAGGACTCTCTGTGAGGGGGTGGAGAGTAGCGGGGGACAGGGAATGGAGAAATCATAGTGAGAGAAGCAGGAGCAGAGCGGAGCCAGAGGGAGCCAGAGAGAAAGCATGTCACGAAATAGCAGGGTTATCAGGAGAATGAGTACTGTAGGCGAGGAACCCCAAGAGCTGGAAGTTTAGGGGAGAAGTAAGAAGGGCCAGAGTAGCATGGACTGTGCAATGTATAACAGGAACTTGTGATTCTAAGGGATCCTGGAAGCCATCATCGTGGGGTTGGTGCCCCTGCAGTCAGGGCACAGAAAGGGGTGAGGTGGTAGGAGCCATGGAGTCCTCCCGATACATGGAGATTCATCCCGGACAAGCTGTAGCTGCAATGTTAGAGAATGTAATGTTCGAATCTAGAGCCTGGCCGGGCGGCGGTGGTGCACGCCATTAATCCCAGCTCTCGGGAGGCAGAGCCAAGCGGATCTCTGTGAGTTTGAGGCCAGTCTGGTCGACAGCGCGAGATCCAGGGCAGGCACCGAAAAAGCTACAGTGAAACCCTGTCTCGAAAAAACAAAAACAAAAATCTAGAGCCTGGTTTATGCTGTCATCAAATAACCCCGTTCTCAGAGAGCTATCAGGGACCCCAACTCTGCCACAGGAACCTGGTCCTGCTTCAGCACCCTTTGCCTTACTGTCGGTGCTTGGGTCCACCCCCCCACACACTGTTCTCTCTGCTGTGGTGCAGGGGCCTGGGTTTCCCTCCCCCTCCCCCTTTTGTGTCTGCTGTGGTGAAGGGGCCTGGGTCCCCTCTGAGCCCCTGGATACTGTTGTGTCTGCTGGAAGTTTTACCTGAGAATTTTGCTCCAGGAACAAAAGACCCCCAGGGTCTGAAAAGAAGGTAAAGCTGGAAATCAACCCCGGCCCTCACCTACTTCTACATCCAAGACAGCAGGGGGATGGCTGGTGGTGTGTGTGGCTCTGAAATGGCAACGGTGGCCCTCTCGGGGGCCAGAGGTAAGAGAGATGGTGGGTTTGCTATTCCTGACATCGAAGAGCTCAAGTCCTTGCTTCTGTCATGTGCCAATAAGGATGCGGGGAAACTGTGGGTGGGGTTTCTGGTATAGGGCACCTCCTGACCCTCAGCCTCCGTGAGCTGGGAGGGCCTGGGAAGACCTCGTGGCTCTTGGAAGGTTAAGAAAAGATGACGAATGGGAGGTGGCTTCCTGGTGAAGGAAGGGGCCCAATCCTTTCCCAGTCAGGCTGCACCTGCCAGGAAGCCCTTCCTGGGTTTTCTGCATCAAGTGTAAAAAGGCAGCCAGTGGGAGAAAGTGAAAAATAACTTTAGAAAGTTGGCTCACTTCTGCTGTGTGGGTCCAGACTGAACTCGGTGTCAGGCCTGATGACGGCAGTCTATGCAATGAGCCATCCTGCCACCTTGTTTTTTGTTTTTTTTTTTTTTTTTTAGAACAAGATCTCAGTGTAGCCCAGGCTGGCCTCAAACTCCTGATCCTTCTGCCTCTACCTCCCCAAGTGCTGCTCCCAAGTGCTAGGCTTACAAGCATATCCCACTATGCCCCGGTCCTGGAACAGAAAAAGGCCATTCATGGGAAAACTGGAGAATTTAAATGGCCTACAGTTTACTTCATAGTGTTGCATCAGTATTAATTTCTGAGTGTTGATCCTCCTGCCGTGACCACATCAGAGAGCTGGGTTTAGAGTCTGTGGGGGGCGTCAGTGTCTTTACAACTTTTCTATTAGTGTAAAACCAGTGAATGGAAAGCTGACAATAAGATTATAAAGAAAGAAAAAGAACAACTGAGTTCCTAAAACGAGGTCTCCTGGAGTTGTTGGGTGTTGCTGGGTGTGTATGGGTGTGTGTGAGGCTTCCTGGGGAGATACAACACAAACGCCTATTCATCTCAGACAGGGATCTGACAGCAGGTCAAAGAAATGATTCTACCAAAGTCCAACTTGGCAAATGTATGAGTTTGTGGGGATTACTTACGATAGTATGAGTGAAGATTGGCGACTTACAGGCCCATGGATGTCACCAAACATGGGTGGTGACTTTCCAACCTGCAGCCCTAACGCTCTCTGCGTGGCTGGCAGGTAGCCCTGCCCGTCAGGGATGTCTTCTTCCCACAGCTGCTTCTAGAACCTTGAGAAGGCGCACCGGTATCAAGGCTAGCCTTGGGAGGGGGTGGCCCGGCTGAACCTGAAGCTGGGGTTCAAGGCTTTGTACAGCGGGGGCAGCGTGTTGGGGGTCCCTGGCCACAGAGCACAGGCCATGTTCATGCACCCTTCCAGAATTCCATCCCTTAACCACTCTCCTGAAACCCCTCCTTGTCCTCATACATTTCAGCTTTCCTGGACACGTGAGGTTTGACTCTCGTTTAATTTTGGGGTCTCGGGAAGCTCCCCTCTGCTCCCCAGGAGGGACTGTTCCCACTAGGAGCCAAGTGTGTACAACAGGCACTCAATCTGGCACTCTGGATCCGCTCTGGCCATTTCAGGCCCTGGCTGAGGGACTGGATCCGCTCTGGCCATTTCAGGCCCTGGCTGAGTGACTGGCTCCACCTGCAGGTAGGGTCTGGGGTGGGGACAAAGTGAAGAGCAGGGTGTGACTTCCTCTATAAAGCTTCCTCTCAAAAGCCGGGGCACATCTGTCAGCCCAGACGCCAGGGTGCCCGCTGCCCTCCAGGCTCGCGAGGTCCTAGGAAGGAGGCATCTGTCCAGCTGGGGCTGCCAATCCTTATGGCCTGCTGCTTGGAGTCTGCGCTGCTGCTAATGCTGCTGCTGCTGCTGGGTGAGAGCCTGTCCCCGCCTTGGTCCTCAGGGACAAGGTGGGATTTCAGGAGAGTGGTTAAAGGAAAAGGTGGAATCCTGGAAGGGGTGCATGAACATGGCTTGTGCTCTGTGGCCAGGGACCCCTAACACGCTGCCCTGCCGTACAATGCCTTGAACCCCAGCTTCAGGTTCAGCTGGGCCGCCCCCTCCCGAGTCTAGCCTTGATACCTGTGCACCGGGAACTTTCTTTTTCCTTTCCTCTCTCCCCTCCCAAACGTGGTCGTCAGAGTTCCTGCTGTGGGAAGTGTCACGGTGATCCACCGTGACTCTTCTGTGCCTCAGAGCTGATCCTGTACCTCCCGGGACTGCTCCTTCTCCACCGGGGCATCACGGGAAGGAGTTACTTTCTGAGGTGTGGTGTGGAGAATGGATACTGGTAAGCTTTAAGGCCGAGGAGACCTTCGAGCTGAGGTGTGCCATGTTGAGTGGAGCGCATTTAAGGGGGATGGATGAGAGGCCAGGCTGGGCAGTTTTAGAGCCTGGGGTGCCAGAGAGGCCGGTCTTAGCAAGAGAATGGGAAAAGGAAGGGCCATTAGCCTGAGTCCGGTGACTGGGGTCTTGGAAAAGTGTTCGGCAGACGGCCTGACTTGGCTGGATTTAGGTATGTCCAGTGGCAAGTTTGGACACAGCCGCCAGGTCTACCAACTTCTGATACGAAGTGTCCGGCATCCCCACCCCCACCCCCCAGTACGTTGTCATCTGTCACTTACCTGTATCTTCACTGAAACTGCTGATGAACGTCCAGGTCTGTGTCTCAGGAAGAAGCCCTATGCATGGCCTGCCATCAGGTGCCTGTCGGAATATACATCTGGAAACCCAGGCCTGAATATGCTCAACACACAGCACCTACCCTTCCAGTGAATCCAACGCCCAGGACCCCCTTTTGCCAGTCCAGAACCAGAGTTCAGGTGGGGCAGGATAGGTTAGAGTCAGACCCACGAAGAAGCACCTGGCCCAGGGGGCAGGAGGTACAGGTCAGGATAGAAGGAGGACCAGAAAGCTGCAGATTCACCCAAGGGATTTCCACGTGTCAGAGAAGGAAACATCAGTGTGTCAAAAGGAGGATGAGGGGCGCCATTTCCAAAGTCTCCATTAGCTGGATCAGTCCGCCTCAGTGTCCTGACAGGTGGAGCTGGGGAGGATGCCAGGAGCCCAGCAGATCCTCTTGTGGAAGCATGTGGCCGTTCTGGAGGTGGTGGTGGAGGCTGGACCTCAGATTCTGGGGAAAGGTCCTCCCAGTGTCGCATCCACTCACAACCTGGGTATACCTATCCCTAGGACCTGCGCATGCCCCTTCCTGGGGATGAAGTCCAGTCAGCACCTATAGGTCACGCCTAGGGGCCACACTCTCCCCTTGGGTTCGGGCACTCCCAAATTCCGCGTAGTGCGGGATGGGGAGAACCAAGCACGGAGGACTGCAGCCTGCCCGTCCCTCACCAGGGTCTGCGAGCTCCACGGGCGGGAACCGCTGCGTGGACGCGGCCGAGGCGTGCACAGCAGACGCGCAGTGCCAGCAGCTGCGCTCCGAGTACGTGGCCCGATGCCTGGGCCGCCCGGCGCCGGGGGACCGGAGCGG